GGTGATGAAGAGCCCTTGGTGGCTGCTGGTCTCCAGTGAAGCTGCTTGCAGAGCTCTTGGGCTGCAGGCTGCCAGGCCAGGGCACCTCTCCTGTGTTGGAGGTAGGTCATGGTGTGTGTGTGTGAGTGCATGTGTGTGCCTGCAAGTGGTGGTGTTTGCCCTTTTGTTGCACTGCTGAGTTGGATATGTCACCTGAAAGGTGAGGTTTGAGTCTGCTTGTGTGGCGCTCTCCTGAGGTAAGAGCCTGGAGTGGGAAATAGTCAAGGAGCCCGGGGTACTTGTGATCTCTGGTAGAGGCTCTCAGTGGGGTTGTTGGCCTTGGGGTGTGTCTGTGGATGGAGAACTAATGCTGAATTGGCTGCTGCTGATTCCAGCTCCCTGCAGTGCTTTGCTGTTGAAGTGAAGGTAAAAGCCTTTTGTCTGTCTGCTGAAGTGGCAGCAGATAAGGCTGCTGTTCCTAGCAGTGGCAGGTGGAGAAGCCTTGTTGCTGGGAGATGTGCCAGTACCTGAGGCTGCCTTTTGGGTGAGAAGGAATAGGCAGTGTTCCAGGGTTGGGAGTTGCCTTCCAGGGCTGGGTGCAGCAGGTTCACTCCCTGCTTCTTAGTGCTGCCTGTCCAGGTGTCTCTGAGAAGTCTTGTCTGAAGGCTGCCTGGATGGTTTTCCTTGGGCTTTGATGTAGTCAGAGTGACTTGTGTGTCTGGAGGAGCTTGCCTCCAAAGCTGCAGGGCTGCTAGTTGTGGCAGCCTCCTTGCCTGTGTGGGCAGGGAGAGGAGTTGCAGATGGTTGCTTTGACCAGGAGGGGTTGTTGCTCTTTGTGTGCTGTCTTACAGAGGGCTGTTGGTGAAGCGCAAGGGTGCTGTGTTAGTTGTCAGTTTTGTCCTACCTTGCCAAGGGCATCTGCTTGCTGGCAAAGGGGTGGCTAAGGCCTTTGAAGTCAATGGTCTGAGTTTGTTGTTTTGGACCTTATCTCTTTCTCTAAGTTTATTGTCTTTATTGGTGTTATTGATGCCCTCTTCTTGGGGCTTGTAGTTGAAGAGGTGGTTGATGTTGCCTTTGTTCCCCTAGAGATTGTTGCAGGCTGAATGGTGGAGTTGTTTSTGCTCGGAATGCTTGGGTGTTAGGCTTGTTGTCCTGGTAGCAGAAGGATGGCCTGGAGTCYTTGGAGCATCAGMCCAGTTGTAGGTAGGTGAAACCTGGGTGGGTGTTTGCTGTGCTTTTTGGGTCTTTGTTCCTGGCCTGTGGGAGATCCTGGCAGGAGGACCAGGCTGGATGCTGGGAGTAGAGCTGGGCTTKCTTGATGGGTGAGTGGTCTGAGCCTGGTCTGCTGTGGCAGGCTGAGAGAGGGCATTTTGTGTSGTGTCAGTGTGCCCTGGGACCTWGATGTGGCCTGGAGCCTGTTGGGCCGAAGGGAGTGTGACAGTGCTGGGGCTGATCACCCATGAGAGAGGAGGGCAGCAGCTTGAGCCTGGCTGGCAGGAGATGATATGCAGTGATGAAGACAGCTCAGGCAAGCTGCTAGGATGGAGGGCAGGTTGCATCTGTTCACCTGGGAGTGTGTGCTTGGCTGCTAATGTGTACACTGAGCAGTAGCAGGTTAGATGGGGATGCAGCAGCCAAATGGTGTGCAGTGGATAGAAAAGGCCCAGGGATGATGATGATGCAGAGATCACTACCTCTGCTGCGAAATGGAGGCTTTCTGTGTGTAGAGTATATATTGTATATCTGTACATGTGCCCTTCATSTTTGTATATATGTATGCTGTCTCTACCCCCAGTAGTGTGTGACTGAGGCTGTGTGTTGTGTCTTTGCAGTTTGGCCTTGGTGTCTCAGCAGCCTCCTTGAGTGATTATGTCCCTAAGCTCCCTTTGTGGGATGGGGGGAAGTCAGTTTACGTTTTCTCCTTGTCTAGAGAGGATGCAGCTGTTGAGCTAAAGGGTACCCTGGCTGGTCCTGCTGTAGGTAAGTCTCTTGAAGCTGGGAGGGAAGGCAGGTGCCCCATGCCTTGCCTGTGCAGTCCAGATAGAAAAAATAATTAGGGGATGAGAGGGCAGGGTTTGGTCATCTCCCTTGTCTAGTGTCAGAGCCACCTGCCTTCGGAATCCAGGTGTAGCCTGTCTTTGTTTTGGGACACTCCAATGTGCAGGGATATTGCTAGGTAGCTTTTTTAAGAGAAAAAGAAGGTCTGTCTGTCTTACTTGTATCATCTGTGCACATTGAAAATAGCAGCTGTTATTGCAAATGCCTTGTAACCTATGAGGAGAAGCGTGAGCAGCTGGATCCTAAYAGGCAGAATTATCTGAACCAAAAAGTGACCGAGTCCTTTTGTGCATACTGCTGGGAGGCATAGTGTGCAAGTGGACCTTGACACCAACTTAATCACAGGGGCTTATATTTWTGGTACCTGTAACTGATATGTTCATACAGATATGGACATGCTTATGGTAACTAGAATTGGTTGGTGTCTTGTGTTTAACTACTTTAGAGGGCTGCTCATCTGCTTTGTGGAGATGCTGTAACTGAGCTAAGGAAATTACAAGGRACTGTTTGCAGAGGAGTAATGGTAATGATTCTCTGGGTGTCCTCCTGGCATGTTTTGTTTGTCAAGTTCATAGTTACTTATCTCAGGCTGGGCATGTGTTAAGTGTTAAATATATTGGAATAAGCCATGTGGAGACCTGGATTGTCTTGGAAATGTCCTAGTGGACAGAAAAGCATGGGATGGGCTCTTAGTTTTACATAGTTGAAACAGGAAGCTTCTGGTGAGCTGCAATATGAAAACACTTTCAARCCAGTTAAGCTAAGTAATTGGAGGGTCTGTCCTTCAGTGTCCTGGCTGTAGGAGGCATCTGATGCATTGAGGCAAAATGAGTTTACTTTTCTTGCCTTGTTGGCAGTTTCAATACCTAGTTCTTGTCAAATTGTCACGATAGCTGTGATGATTGCAAATGAACTACCACCAGAGCTGAGCTTTTAAGAACCCATTGGATAGCTACTTGAGGCGCTCATTACTCTTGTGCTTCCCTTTAGAACATGTGTAATACCTGGTGATTATGATAATGGCCTTTTTGTCTTTGAATTTGCCTCTTGTATTCATTTCATCAGCGTGTATTACACATTAATGTGCTTCTTAGCAGTGAGCATGTAGAGGCTTAGAAATCATCCCAACCTACTGCTCACAGGATAAGCTGATCAAAGGAAGGGATGAGGCTTAAAGGGGTCAGAGGAGGCCTTAAACATCTTGGCACGGGTGAGGGATAACCGCACAAGGAATCCCCTTGAAATTACAACAGTGGCTCACCCTGAGCTATTGACAGCAAAGATGCTGTAATCTCCTTTTCCCTGTCCTTTTTTTGCCCTTCAATGAAAGGGGCTAGATGCAAGTGGGTTTAAATAAGTGCTAACTCTATTGATTTAATTSTTTTAGGTGAAGATCCTGTTTCATAGCCCTTTCTGTCAGAATGCTTCATTCCAGCTGGGAGTGCAAGTCTGCTGATCTTACGGTAGGAAGGGGGAAAAAGTTGACCTGAGTGTTTGCTAGAATCTTAGCCCTAAAAGTTGTGATGAGAGCTTAAGTCTATCGTTCATCTTACAGGATCCATCTCCTTTTCCTAATCTTCTCCCTTTACAGTTGCTTTTCTGATTGCTAATAATGAAGATGAAATTCAGATCCACCAGTTGGTCTGTTGCCTTTCCAGATGTTTCACAGGGGAATAGTGCTATTAAGTTAGATGGCTGAAACATTGAGCAATTTGTGGCCTGTTAAGAGGAGACTTGGATTTGTGCAAGGTCCTCTGTTAAGATAATTGGGTGGTTTCAAGTGAGGAACTTAAATTTCTTGTTCATGCAGCTGTTTTCATGCAATTACTCTTGTTTTCTTAGAATTCTGCTTGAGAGGTTAAACATGCTTGCTAATCCTTGCTGCTTGATTCATAGTGTGAGGCCTTTTTATCTGGTGGGAGCTTTCAACTGTTGTTTTACAGAATAGCCAAGCCTGTTAGCTTAAGTTTGAGGTGTACAACTGCTGCAGTGTTTTTCTGTTGAGACTTAGAAACACTTTGTTCCAGGTACTGCTTTGTACCTGTTCCTTTCCCTATTGTAAATAGGGAAGATGTTTAGATTGAGGGGGTGGAAGTAGGGGAAACKGAGAAAGGCAGATCTAGTAGCAGGTCATGTAGGAAATGGGCAGCAGAGCTAAGAAGTAATTTCTTAGACTTTGGTTTCCTAAATCTGACCAAAATATTGTACCAAGAGGCCCGGCTGTCCTCATTGGTAAAGAGCTCATACTGGGCTTCTAGCTACCATGACAAATGTAAAACCAATTTCTGAATAGGATTCTTGGTGAGTAAATGACTTAAGTGCTAAGTAACAGCTGCTTTTGATTACTGTGACAGTTGGCAGATTAGTGCAGTGACTGCTTATTCCTGTTTGTCTTAGGAATTCTAGATAACTTGACCTCTGCAGGCTATGTGAAAAGCAGTCCTGAGCTAACCTCAACCTCAGGTAATCCATATCCACTTCTAGGCTGGGCAGTGGGGTTTTGGTGGGAGAGGGAACAGGTTGTTTGGATTGGAGATGAAGCTGATTTTTTCATCTGTAGTGAATCAAAATCTGATGAATCGGAAACAGCCCATCATACTTGGGTTAAGATTATTATGGAGCAACTCCTCTGTGCATAGAGGGTGAAGTCTTGATGCTGGTATCTGCAGTTTATGGTTCCTGGAACTGATTTTTTTCATACAGATGACCCAGAAGCTGACATCCCAAGGTAAGTTTCTAAGCTTTCTGGTAAAAGAATCAAYAACAGTCAAACTCTTCATATGAATTTTCTGGGGAAATTTCAGTAGTATTGAATATCTGTAGGATACCTATAGTGATTTTTCACATGGCCTGAGACATCTGACTGCTGTTTAAATGAGTATGGATGCAGGGAAGCTGTAAGTAATAATTGGAATAACTACAAGTCTCTTGGTACAGAGCAGTTGCCATTTTGATCATGTTATTTGAGGTCAATCAACTGGCTAAAAAGCTTACTTGTATGGACARCAATTGGTGAATGCAAGTAGAATGGTAGTGTGTCTAGTAGTTAACATTTACACCCTTTTGTATGTTCTTGTTCTGCTGTTATGCTGACTAAGCTGTGCTGTGATGAAGGACCAGCTGYGAGCCATACCCTGCTTATTAGGGTGAAACCCTTTGGTGGTCACTTWTTCAAGCACTTACAAGGAAGATGGCTTATGTAGTTCAACTGCTAAACATCTTGAAAGAAGTTGTGCTTCAATGGGTTGCAGCTTCAGAGATTTTCTTTAACTTCAGCTTCTACTTGTCTCACTATAATGGCTGTATTAAGTTACTAGGAATGTTTAGCAGGAAAAATCTCTAATCTTTTCTGCTTTGCATTTTATCCTMTCAGGCTTTCTGTTAATGAGCATTAGCAGCACACTCAGGTAATTATCTAAATTGAATGCAGATGGTGGTCATTACTCTGGAATACAGAACCTGCTGGCACATCAAGTAGCTTTTCACTTAAGAAATTGAAACTTGGTGTTCCCAGGACCCAGAAAAAGATCAGTTTGTCATCAACTGAACATGGCTAGGGTTTGTAATGATGATTTTGGTATCTTTAAGATCCAGGTTTTTCCTTTTTTTTTTGTGAAGGAAACCATGCCTGGAGCAGAGAGAATGGTTATAGAAAGGAGTTAATGTATTTTTTTGCAGGTCCTGTTAGTCACTTTAGAGATAAAGGTCTGCCTGAAAATAGCCATGGTCTTCAATTTCAGGTTAGTGAGACCCCTTAGTCCTAGGAAAAAGGCATGTGTGTTCATCTTTTCTATTTTTGTTAGAGTAGTTCCTGACTTTGCTATAACCTCTTGGCCCTTATGCAGGCAGAGGATGGGGCTTACAGAAAGGTCTTCTCATAATCTGCTTATTGCTTAAATCACCTATATGACCAACCCCTTTCAAATGCTGCTTYGTGGGAAGGCTGACAGTCAGGTTATAACAGGCTGGCCAATGTGAAGAGCAAAAACTTTCCTTGTAGAAAACCAGCATATGGGCCTACAAATATACTTGATTTCYGAGTTTTGCGTGATTGAACAGAAAGACTTCACATGGCATGTTTCTGCATTTGCTATTTGACTTTAATTTTGACTAATTTGCAGAGTTCTTATGTTTTTAGTATCTGCCTCGAGATTCAGAAAAGGATTTGGCATGTTTTATTACTAGTAGTTTTACTAGACCACCCACATGGTTCCATTCAGCTCTCAAATAAGAAATGWGTAAGCGCTAAGTTTTTGCTATTCTGTTTGTCATATAGACACAAAATGCTAAAGATGACTTTGTTAGGTTGTAATCCTTAGATGTTAATTATAAACCAATAATCACACAGGGCATCAAGTGGTGAGCGGAACAGTGCCAAGTGGTAGTTGTCCAGGCTTTTTTCTCGGATGGATTGTACCTGAGGAAAAATCCAGCCTTGTGAAAAGAGGACAGGAGGGGCTGAACTGGAGTATTATCTTTTTTGAGGCATGCCTGTTGAGTATGACAGTCATAGTCAAGAGATCCCACCCAGGGATATCTCTGGAACATGCTGCTTGAAATGAGTTTCTCAGCCTTCCCTTTCTATAGCAAACTTGCTGTTTCTGGGTATTAGAGGAGAAAGATGGAGAAGATGGTTTTGAGCTGAACATCAATCTGAGGCTTGCAGGGAGGAGGCAGATGGATATGAGAAGGAAGGGGGACCAGGGCAAAGCTTTTTTGTCACAGTATGGCTTCTAAGGTGACTCTTTTTGCCAGGCAAGAGCAAGCTGCATTTTACAGGTATTTGTATCACAGTGGTATCATCTTGACTACTTSATTTCCATGAGGAAGATGGAGGAAGAAGGAAAGGTATGGTTTTCCTGTTTAATGAGAACCTAAATACCTGCTTTGACACAGAATGCGCCTACCAGGAGGAAACATGCTTGTGTGGCACTTRGTAGCCAGGATTGACTAGTTTGGGTTAATTCAGGTCATAAGGCAGGTAGAAGTGGTTTGCTTTCAGACAACCCCTCATTAGATCAAGTCATGGCTTTAAAACRGCTTAGAAAGCTGTCTTGCCTATCTTGTTTACCCGGCAGATGATATAACCTGCTTGGGAAGAAGTAAACATAAAAATGCTTTTCCTTCAAACAAAACAATTCAGGCTCTTGCAGTGGTGGGCTGCACATGTTTATAGCAACTGTTCAAAGTAGTAATATCTGGTCTGTCATGTTGCTGGTGGTGCTTGATTTTTCTCAAAGTTTGTGASATAAGGCAATCCATTTATATTACATATTCCTCTACTGCATTTCAGTCATTACAGATGATTTAACTGTGTCCTCATCTTTGAGAAATACTATTTAAATGTAAATGCACCCAASTGGAAAAGGGTGGTTTACACCTTTAACTTTTTTAACTTTAAAATGAATGCAACAGACAATGGAGAAAAACTCTGAGAAATGCTTAGCTAAACACTGAGGTTGTACAGCRGTGACTTAATTGTCTGTGGTGTTTTAAAATGATACCTTTGCTAGAATAAGTGTTGATTCTGTTTCAGAATTAGATAACAGAARGATGCAAGCTGGGGAGTGAGTCCTTTTCCAAGAGCTCTGCGAGTTTAGTGACCTGTAACTAAATCTGTAAGRATACAACTGAATCTGTCATGATAGAAAAAATGAGCCGTATACYAAAAGAAATCTGCCAGCTAGCAGGAGACGCTTTGATCATTACATTGAATATTATTGCTAATGCCTTTTAAGGAACAAAGAAGAATCAGTAAAGCAGCACACGTGGGGTTTTGATCTACTAACTGTTGCTTCCTTGTTGTGTTCTGTTGTTTCTGTTCTGTGCCTAAAATCAATCCTGCATGTCAGAGCACGGCCTCTGGCCCGTGCTTTCATATGGGCAGTAGTTGAGAAGCCTTTTTTTCAAGGTGAGGCCTTTTTTCTTGTCTGCCTACAGTACTGTAAAAGCTGCTGATAGAGAGCTGCTRCAAAACGCACAGCTAGCCCAGTTGGAGCGCTCTGGCCTTTCTTAATCACTACTGAATATTAATTGCAATGCAGTATCCAGAGGTTTTGGTGTCAGTTAATGCTTTGTGTGCTGTCATGCTCTGAGCTGTCTAACCCTGATGTTCTGCATTTTATAGTCATTTTCTTAGTTGGGTGGCAGCTGATGTAAGCTGATACATTATAAGCATTAGGTAATGTTTAACTTTGTTATTAAAACTGTTTAAAGCATGGTTCTTGTCACTTGAAATATGTTTTTTGTACTATAAGTTTCATGTAATATGAGGGAAGTCTAATTCACCACTGAATCTGGAAAGAGCTTATATGGATGACTCATTCTGCATGGCTCTTGGCCTGTCTCCTGTCCTGTCCCTTTGGGGCAGATGATTTTGTAGCTTCCAGATAGGTCATTAATAACAAACACAGGGATTCTTGTCCGGTAGAAGAAAAAAGCTAATAATGATAGGAATAACTTTGTCCTCAAAGTGAAATGGAATTGAAGTTGGAAGCTGCTTTATGATTAAGTAAAGCTTTCCTGCTAGAATCATTTACTGCTGACAATCTGTAGTCAGTAGTGTTTTTCCTCACTGCATCATTCTTTTTTTTCCACAAATAGTAGTGTGTTGGGGCAGATGGTATCCCATGGCAACTGCCTCCAGTGTGAGAGGCAGCTAACTTTGGAAGTGATCCTAAATCAACATAAGTTTCCTGGGAAGCTCAGCATAGCTGTTCCCCTTGCCTCTGTCTGGKTGTCTCTTAGGCCTTTTACTGTCTTGAACTGTCTGCAATGTGCTAGAGACAGATGGCAACCTATTCAAGGCATCTGATGCAACTTCAATACTGGTGGCTGCCATGTGCTGATGGGATTTTTTAAATGTCCTGATGTGTCTTGTGTTTGTTCCACCACTGGAGGTTTAAGCAGAGCTTGGATGGTTGTGATGCAACTGTTGAAAGGTCTCTCTTGACCCGGCAGTGGGAAGAAGCAATGTGCATGTAGGTTTGAGAACTTCCAGTGTATTTGTGTTACCTTTGAAGGATAATCATAGCATCAAATTCAAGTAGTAGTATTAGAAGGGTTTGGCAGATGGTAATGAAATGACTTCAGACAAGCACTGGTATGAAATACAGGAGATGTGTGCAGATGTTCTAGTGAGATGTCAGGGACAGGAAGGGCTTCTACAAATGTATTGGCAGCAAGAGGAAGACSGGGGAAAATGTTAGTGTGTAGCTTAATGGGGCGGGGGCCTTGGTGGTGGAGGATGTGGAGAAGGCAGAGGTACCAAATGCTGCCTTTGCTTCTGTCTTGCCTGCTAAGGCTGGTCCCMGAGAGCTGTGGAGCCCAGATAAGAGAACCAAGAGAGGAAGACTTTACACTGGTTGAGGAGGATTGGGTTAGGCCTTTGGCAAACTGGACACCTGTAGATCTATGGGCCCAGATGGGAGATGCCCAGAAGTGCTGAGGGAACTGGTAGAGGATATAGCTCAGCTGCTCTCCCTTATGTTTGAGATCTCATGGAGAGCAGGGGAGGTGCTGAAGGACTGGAASAAAGTCAGTGTCTCCCTAGTGGTTATTAAGGGCAAGGAATTGCTGGGGAACTACAGGCTAGCCAGCCTCAGCTGTGTACCTGAAAAGGTGATGAAGCAGCTCATCCTAGAGACCATCCCTGTGCATGTCAGGGAAAAGGTCATCGGGAGTAGTCAGCATGGATTCACCAAAGGGAAGTCATGTTAAACTTGATAG